TCCGTCAGCGTCCAAGTAATAGCAATGCAGAGAATGGCACACCAAAAGAGTCTACACTCGTGATAGTCGCCGGAGCGGAACCTGACCATAGAGAAGCTGTAGGTTAATTCGGGCAGCCTGAGATGGTTTCTGCTGTTCCTTCGATGCCCATGCGGAAGGAATTTAGAAGACACTTAAAAAAGTGATAAGCACATTATGAACCGCTAGCGGCTAGCCACGGGGGTTAAACACTATAGGCTGAATTGAACGTGTGCGACTGCCAGCCTGACCATATCAGTCATTCATTTCCGACGGACTGACTTAATTATACAGACATACCTTTATGTTGCCATACTCACAATCGCTCCACACCGGAAGTGACCCTCGTAGAATAGTCATATCAACGGGACCGTAGCTTAAGGGAGAGCAAGGAGTCACAAGTCCAATTTTACCTGTAAAATGGCAGAACACGACCATTCGAACTGTCTAATAAACAGCTGCATCAGCCTGATTGCTCCGAGGTGCAAATTTAAATGCACCCACTGTATCAAGTTCGAATTACTCGACGCCGTAGGCAACATTCATGCAGTACATCGAGAGTTAGCACATCCTCCTCTTTATCGTCTTTTCTAGTTCCCCGTTGCCGTAGGTGCCGGCTTAGGGCAAGAACGTTCACGTGCTTATCTGAACTTCGGTTGCCCGGCCCGAATGGTCACTTATTTTCCCACCTTTGCTCCTAGAGTACTGATCAAGCGTCTACAGGCTACAGGCCTCCTCTTGTATTACCATTTGACGTGATGGAACGCTTTATGCGGCATGGGGTAGCCACATATTAGTAGCCCAAAGACTCTCGTTACTCTGAGTCAGGCCCACTCAAATGATTTGGATTTGTGATACCCAAACCGTGTTTCTTCTGCTCGGACGATGTCGGCAGAAAATGTACCCAACGAGCGAAGTGCTCAATCGGTATGCACCCGGTACGCATAACAGCAGAGAAACTCATTGCATTCACCGTCATAGCCTCTTGTAGATGAAAATCTGTTTTAACGGCGAGAATTTGATTCTAGGTGCGCGATCGCTTTTCGCAGAAGCTCAAAGAACTCTGGTAATCTTTCAACAATTTTGTCAACTATGATAGAGGGTGAAAAGGTTGTATCATTGCACTCCTTGTCCTTCTTGCTCGAGCCGAACGTCCTCGGGTTTTACAGACCACATGCTACATGCGGCGTTTGACTTCTGCTCCCCGTGGGTGAACAGGCTCCCAAGCTACCCTGGACGCAGTGTAAGCTTGCTAGCAGTTGAATGTCACTTGCCAGCATGTTTATATTAGCATCTAGACGTGCGGTTCGATTGTCTCGTATCCTCTAGTAACTTCATTGCACACTTATCCCTCGTGGAACTATCGGGAGTCCGACGGACCATTCACGTCCTTCTCTGTGACCAGAAGATGCTATCATCGCAGCTCTTTGTGCCGAGGAAATGGCATTCTGTGATTTATACCCACGCCCGTGTCCTACAAGCTCATCAGCCTATCCGAGCACCGCGCAGATGGTCAAAAATGCTGGGAAGACCGGTCCTTCGGGTGGAGTGCATCCAAGCTATCCTTTGCGCATTAATTGATTGACCGTTAGCCTGGCATCGAGTCAGGTGCATCCCCTCATTTCAGTCCTCCTGATCGGCGTATCCATACGGTGTACTTTTGAATCTTCAACTTCGGGTACGTTTTTTTAACTCCGCCTCATCTTTTCTTTCGAGGACCGGCGTTGATTTCTATCAGACAATTTTAGCTCCAGTTACACTCGTCAAGTGATTGGTTCAAACAACACTGTATCTGAAGAAGCTGTCGCTGACGCCACTCTTTTTCAAAATTTGTCTGGAGCCTGGCATTGCTGCGGCCCAGCGGTTGTGAATTCAGAATGACAGCCTGAGGTTTGCAACAGACCTTGCGTTGTCACGTAAAACTTCGGCTTGCTATACTACTGGAAGGATACACGCGCCTAAAGTTATACGCCATTTGACCAAATGCACGTTTGCCGACTTTCGCGTAACGGCGAATTCGAACTGGTGGTTGCGCGTAGAATTGAAAAAGGCCTAGTCCGGATCCGGAAACCGGTAATCGGCAATAGCCGACGTACACCCCTTCCACCACCACCCCGTCATCCGGGTTCCAGTATTCACCCCAGACTTATCACTATCGACACCGGGTCGCATCCCCAAATCTTGTTTGCTTAAGTAGAAGGAATGACAAGGAGATTGATGCCCATTTCCTCTAGATTCTAGAGATATTCGGACCTGTCATTGTACGTGGCGAATGATCTTACTCCCATTACCAGTTTACCGAGACAGCAGATTTGCCTTTCTAGATTATATTTACTCTGCACCATGGACGCGTTTCCACAGGAACTCATCGAGGCCATCATTGACGAACTTTCCGACGATCGAGAGGCGCTCAAAGCATGCTCTCTCGTCTCGCAATCATTCTTTCATCGCTCCCAGAAACTTCTCTTTTCCTCTGTTGTACTCGACTCTCGAGACGACTCTAGTCGAGTACATAATCCTTCGGTTGATTTCCTGAAATTGCTAGCGCGGTCGACACGTATCGCGCCCCTCGTCAGGCACTTCACCGTCTACAACTTCACTTGGGGGAAAAACAGCTGGTTCACCCAGGACCAGAATGTCGTGCCGCAGATACTTGGATCCCTAACCAACCTGAGAAAGATGACTATCTCAGGGCGACACTACGACCGGAGGTGGGACGGCTCGAGCGACATCCGTACTTCGTTGTGTCAAAGCTTCTCCCTACCCCACCTCAAATCTCTTTCGTTAAACTATACATCTTTCCTACGACCCTCCGATTTCCTCCAGCTGTTCAGCAAAAGCCGTGATCTGGAAGAGTTGCGACTGATGAATGTCTACATCAGCGACCAGCTCAGTCTTCAGGCGCATCCGGACCGCGAGCACAATACCCCCATCGACGACGAGCGGCTGGCTCAGAGACCGAAGCTCCGATATCTACGCATACAGAACGTGCCTGTCGTTCTCATTGACACGCTCACCCACACTCACTCTCCGTTGGACCTCAGCTCTCTCCGAAGGCTCCAAGTATGGTCCGATCATGGAGATCAGAGTGACCATCTCCAGCGTCTTCTCGAAGCTGCCGGTGATGCGCTAGATGAAGTTGTGTTCCACGGCTTCTCGTCATGTACGTTACTACCTATACACTCGCTTTGAACTCAACTGAATACCGACTATTACAGCAACGAATGGTTTGGACATCTCCCATGTCCCCAACATCACATGTTATTTTTCCAACTTCTTTTCAGACCGTGTAGCCAACCACACCGTGCTATCTGGATTGACGGAGCTGTTTTTCCAGCGATACTCTCGCGACACGTCCCGCATGGAGACTGTCACTTTTAATTTGCGATCGCACCCTAAAGCCATTATAGATTGTCCTCGGGATGAGTGGAGGCGACTAGAGGAAGCAATGATGGTGGTGAGGAGGAAGGTCAGGTTTGAGATACCTGTCAGGGATATGAAACGGTCCATGAGGGACCCATTGGAGAGGGAGTGCTTGGCCGCAGTGAGAAGGGGGATGGGTATGTTGAGCGATAGGGGAATCTTGGAGATAGACATGGTGCAAGGACCATAGCGGTAGAACTCGGACTTTTCTTGGACCACTGGATTCTCTTCGTTTCAATTGCATTCCTGTAACAATATCAGATATCATTGTATACGGTCCGCTGTCACGGTTTCCACCGGTTAATTCTAACTTACTATTGCGAACTGATCGACAAAAGATATAGTATGTGGCAATGGCTTGACATACGGATCGGCAACACCCCGCTTACGACTGATTAGTTGTAGGCAAAGCATACCCGCCGTGTCCTACAGAACTACCGCGTCCGAGGACGAAGTGTAAATGCTTGAACGAGGTAGACACCCATGCCAACACATGATTTGGTATCACTATTAGAACTTAACATTTACGGTCACCTTCAAAGACGAATTAATTTTTTTATGCAAAGCTACAAGAAACGACCGAGGGCGCACTGAGCCTAACTCGACTCTAGGGACTATTTTGACTCTCGAAGGACGACTGTGACATGTGTCATTGGAACAATGGAACTAGGAGTTCAGAAGACAGGACTGAGGAAAACTTAGAAGAAATATTTTAAAAATATAACAAGAATTTTAACTATCATTCCCCCTAGCCGACTTGAACGACTGACCTCGTCATTACAAGTGACGCGCTCTACCAACTGAGCTAAGGAGGATTGCTGACTTATCATATTTACACGCTACATGCCCGTGCGATTTAAAGATGAGAGAAAAACCCTCTATAAGCAATCTATAAGTACCACGAAATCAGGTCGGAGGAAGCGCAGTCAACTCTGACTGATAAAAGTGAATATATATGGCACATACTAATGCATACAATTACGGGTTTACACCTGAAAGTAGGAGCTGTAGATGGTCTGTGGCTACCCAGTCTGACCAGTACTAAGCAACCAAATATTCGAGGCATTCACAAGCTCCTGCCTCAACGTCCATTTTGGTGGTCACGGTCCACGCACTGCGCAGATTAGGGTAGCACACGAAACTTAGGTTTGGTTACACTTGGGTTTATTACTGGTAAGTTACTGGTAAGTTATCTCCCCTCACTGGAGGGGTTTTCCGTCGAGGTAACTTACGCATCACTGTGACTGCCTGATAAGAATGAAAATTCAATAGAATTACATATATATTCTGCATACATGCAGGAGTGAATATGCAATATGTTCAGATGACTTAGAGCATCCTCAATGAAGAAAATGTCCTAAAACACGAACACGGACGTCCTGAAAAAAAAATCGCAGTTGCTGCGCGTCCGTCATGTGATTTTGCATGTGATAGGTAAGTAATGATAAATTACTGTATCAAAACACCCCCCTTGGGGAGGGGTCGGTAAAACGGTAAGTTACCCTCCTTGCAGGTTTCGTGCGTAGATGGAATCAAAATACAAGGAAAGGTTAAAATGATTCCCACTAGCCGGATTGAACGACTGACCTTGTCATCGTTGCTAAATACGAGTGACACGCTCTACCACTAAGCTAAGAGGGATCAACTAATTATTAGTTTCCTCTCATTATGTTGGTATGGAGTAAATCTTGACTATTCTATACCTCATGCCCACCGCATGGTAGACGGTAGCAAGCAAAAATTTCCCGCTTCAATAGCCGCTTGACATAACTCAACACCCCACAACCATGAGCAGTAGTGACTATGACGAAAAAGTCGCTTGCCGATTAGGCAAAGCACTCTACCACTTTGCTTCGGTCTTACGTATCCCTCAGGCGGAGTATCTTCAACAGTTCCTGAAGGAGAACGACCATCTCGCGAGCGGAAGCGAAGATGAAATAAAGGTGCTGGTTTTCGGAAACATGGAAAAGTTCGAGAATAGGTGGTGCCAGATCGTTGACCAATTCACCGAAGATAGGAAAAAGCTGCAGTCGTTCCACGAAATGGACGAGTATTTGATGAAGATGGATAATTTGTGTAACCAGACGCTGAAAACATTCGAAGAGTAAGTCCCAGTACTTATCCCTGCGGTACTCCTAACTTACGTGCCTAGTTACATGCTGACACCTATCAGCGCTCGATCCGCCATTAAGACTATCGTCAGAGGTATATTCCCCGTGATCTCAATGCCCTTGCAGTGGCGAGCCCTCGATTATTTTGAATTCTATCTGTGAGTTCCAGAATACACTGGAGCGACGCGTTGGGTAAACTCCCTTCCTTGTAGAAATCAAATCAACCAGGACATGTATGATATGTATGAATACACAAGGCTACTTGAGCCTCGATACCTCTTAGGGTCAGAGTCTGATATGGGCGGTATTGATTGTGAGAAACTGCATAACCGGCTTGAAGAGCTCGAGTACGCACCATTGTTTTCGCCGTTGCTAACGAAAGGAACTAACGCACAGAACAGAACTCGTGCACTGCATCCAAAAACGAGCGACAATACTACGAGCCAACGAAAACAGGAGAGACTTGACACCATTATCGGCGACCTCGGTTCCGAAGAGCAACAACCGGCTCAAGCTAAATCTGAGAGGAAGGAGCTGCCGTCGAAACAGAACATATTCGAGAGAGATTCCCAGTACGTCATATGTATCGTGATTGTTGTATGTTGCATTAAGCGCAATTTGAAGGTCGCCTGACTCATATGACGACAAGGAGCCACTGGACGCAGATTCCAATACTTCGGATGATCTTACTAGTACCAGTGCCTTCCATTTCGACGATGCCACCCTGTCAGACGAGGAGCCCTTATTAAGGTCCGTACAGACGTCACTGATCTCAAGAGTAGCACCTGATTTTCGCGTTAGGGGAAAAGACAATGGAGAAGAGGACATGCTTACCTCGGGAGTATCAGCCTTTATGAGGAACGTCAACAATCATAGCGATCCTCCCGAGCCCCAGACTGACTCATTGGGAACATATAGCGACGCCCCAAATCGCTCTCCACTTTCGAGTCGTTTGTCACCCAGCCCCCCTCCATACCAATCAACTAGTAATAACGCCGAGGAGAAAAGTCTCGGTCTCGTCGAAAGATTCGAACAAGATCCCTTCTTCGCTATAACAACAAAATATATCAACCCGACGCAATCCTTTTTGCTTCGCAGAGGAAACTGTGAGGTACCCTTTAAGGTGGTTCGAGGAGGCATAAAGGGCGACGCCTGGTCCTTCGTGGTCAACTTGACGTATACAAAGGAGCAGATGCGACAGTTATTGCAGTCATGTTGTCCAGCAGACAACGAAATGACCGAGGACCTCGTGCAAACACTCTTTCGCCGCCCGAGTTCTATGCATAAACGGGTGATAGCCACGAAGAGGGGTGCTACCCATTACAAAGTTGTCGACGTTTACATCGAAGAGGAGTGGAAATTCGGGTTAGAGCGTAAAGTGACGTTCGATGAGCTGAAGGGCATGCTGCGGCAGAGTTTAAGGATGGAGAAAGGATCTGAAACCTTGTGGATGTAATTGATGCTTGCGTTCGAGTTCTTGTTAGTCTCTCAGTAACGCGCCTTGACACTAGACCAATCAGAGAACGTGGTGAGATATCTTCAAATAGCAGGATCTTTAATATCCGACATGACGCACCAATTTGTTTGAATCTAGGCGGATCTAGGGTAAAGTTTGGCACTTCATGTCGAACAGTTAATGATCGAGACGATCGTGCCTTCGAGATAAGATTTGGTGTCCAGTCCTGCCATGACTGGTTAGCGCACCGGTAAACAACCCCTCATCTAAGTGCGTGAGATATGCACATTAAAACCTTATAAATATATACACCAAATATTGATAAAGTCTTGACTCTTCGTCCCCAAGTGCCGAGCAACGGTATGGGAGTGCGGGAATGAAAATCTCGATCCCCGCACCATCGTCCACTTAAAGGTCCGCGGGAGTAGATGCAAACGTGCCAGTTGTCTATAATAGCAGACCAGACGCTTGCCTATTCTCAGGATAAGAACGTCAGTATAACGACTATGACGTAGTAGTGAATAGACGCCCAAGCGTGGCACATGCCGAAACGCATACAGGGACAGCGGTCTTAGGCGCCGTTATCAATACGACATCTTTACCCTTGTACACACGGAATCATGGATGGTCGACCAAGAAATAGTAGGAATTTGAACGCCTGTATCACCATTTCGCATGCTTTGCATCACTTTCTCTCGATAATACAACGTTCGCACCCTCAGGAAGACGATTTCAGCGACATCGATGCAGGCAGAAGGCGTCTATCCTGGACCTTCGGGAGTAGACAGGAATTCGAGGATTGGTGGACCAGGGAAATCGAAAGAATGGACCAGAAACGACGAGCTCTGAGCACCTTCGACGAAATGAACGATCACTTGGAATACTTGGAAAGTATTTGCAGGACAACGGCCATCCAATCTACTAAGGAGTGAGTATCCGACTTCCCGTATGACGATTGATTGCGCTCACAGAGAAGCAGATATGAAATGAAATTCATCTGCGCCCAATCGGCTGTGAAACTCATCACACAAGGAATATTCCCCGTTGCGCCTGATTCAGTAGTGGTGGGCTCATTGGATCTCCTCGATTTTCATTTGTGCGTAAAGTCACGCCAACATTCCGAGAGTTGCTTAACCCTCCCTGCAGAGGCAGGAAGCAGGAACATAAATTTCAGAGAATTGTCGCTCCCCAGTGGGAAGATCCGAATCCTATGACGCAGGAGACGAAGAAGAGGATTGCCAAAATAGAGTATGTCCTCTAGTCGGGGGTTTCACCTCGTATACTTATGACATTCGTGACAGGGACTTGTGTCGCTCTGACCCCATCTTTGTGCATCGAGCGTCGCGTGTCGTAGATCCACCTATTATTGGTGAAAGGGCTAGATCTCCTTATCAATTCGTGAATGTATATGTCAAAGAATCAAAGTGAGCCACGAACTTCATCCAAAAGAAATTGCTGAACAATTATGGGTACTTGTAGGCCACGAAATACCTTTGCAGACATTCGAGAGGCGATGCGGAGCCAAGCACCGTGCGTTGATGATCCGAAATACAAATCAGAGTGCGCCCTGTTCAAATTCGAAAGAAAGGGCGAAGTAACATCCTTAACAGGGCGAATAATGAGCAAAAGAAACAGCCTCCGCAAGGAAACACAGACCAGTCTACAGCTACCTCTGAGAATTTACGTTCTAACTCTGCAGCAAAACCTGCTGAGTTAGATGGGTTCGACAATCTCAGCTCGGAGATTCCCTTCAGGTAAGAATACCCCCGCCGGCCTGAATGTCAGAAGAAAACTAAACGGTCCTGTTAGCTACGATGATGATTTAGGAGACTCGGAGCTCCTTACCAGAATCAGAGAGGCATTTTCAGATAATTCGGAGCCAAATCCCGCAGCACCCAAGACACCTGAGAGACGACGCCGTAGCTCCAGCTGTGCGCCCAATACCCCATCGCCGGCGAAAAGAAACATAGAAGAAGACGAACCAAATCCGGACCAATCGCCGTTTGCCACACCGAAAGAGGAAGATCTCGCCGGGATGTTTTACGGAAATCCTTGGTTCGCATTTAAGAAGCGAAATCCAAAACAGGTGTTCTTGTGGGACTCTAATGCCAATTGCATGCCCTTCAAAGTTGTGAAAGGAGGGAAGGTATTAGGCGAGTGGGTATTCGCCCTTGACATGGTGTATGGGAAGGACGCATTGCATCAACTGCTGATGGCCACGTCATTCCATGGTGATGACCCTGGCAACAAGATGATGAATATCCTGCAGAAGTTTGATAGGCAGCCGGAGGTCGTCTACAAGAAAACGTTCGTAACCAGGGATAAGGCTTTTCAGTTCACGGTCAAAGAACTTTGGTGCGACGAGGAATGGAAGTTCAACCTGGGAGCCAAGGTAACTTTCTCGAGGCTCCACAGCATGATGAAGACGAGCCGTAGGGTGGAAATGGAATCAGAGTTATGGCTGGACTGGTTAGATTATTCTGAAGAGAAATGAGGTTCTGGAGATTGGACACTGAAGAATGAAGAATTAAGACTTGGCTGTCGGAACGTACGTCCATCAAAGGGACAAATTGTATCATCATTTCTTGTGTTAACAACAAGCTCGTCGCGACGGTTGATAATTTTAACGATAGAAGCCTGAACAATCAATGTGAGATCGAATGAACACGCCTCTAAAGCAATAGATATCTTATGGCGTCGCAACAGAACAGTCCAATCAAAGGCATTTATATACTTTCATGGACTCACTCGGAAAACAAACAAATTCAGCCATCCAACTTCAATATCTTTATCGCAGTGCCCCTCTTTAGTCCTAGCAGCTCTTCGCTTGTCAGTACGTCTGTTAGACTATTGACCCACTCCTGGCCTTCACTGATTAGAGCGAAGGGATAATCAATCGAATGCATAATCCTATCCAAACCTATCTGGGACTTGTGGAATTGCAGCAACGGCGTTGCGAAGTTTCCGGCCGTCGTCTCATACAAATTCGTGAGCCAATACGAGGAGGCATTCCGCTGCATGGGAATTCCCAGGGGAACTTGGCGAAGGAGTTCTTTTACAACAGATGAATCAAG